AAAAATAAAAAATCCGCCGGAAATCCGCCGGAAATGTTAATTTTTTTTAAAAATTTATTTATTTTTCCGCCGGAAATCCGCCGGAAAAATGTTTACTATTTTTTTAATAAAAAAATAAAAAATCCGCCGGAAATCCGCCGGAAAAGTTAAATTTTTTTAAAAAATTATTTATTTTTCCGCCGGAAATCCGCCGGAAAAATGTTTACTCTTTTTTTTAAAAAAAATTAACAAAATCCGCCGGAAATCCGCCGGTAAAATCTTGTAATTTCAAGATTAATCTGAGTAATTAAGAAATCCGTCGGAAATCCGCCGGAAATTGTTGAAAGTCAATAAAATGTTGACTTTTTTAGCGTCCGCCGGAACGCCGCCGGAAATCCGCCGGAAAATTACCGGCGGATCAATCCGCCGGAAATCGGCGCCGGAAATGCTGACTTTTCTAGTAGTGTTAGTTAATCTGAACGACATAACCAGAAACTCCTGATGCCCATATCTAGTTCAGAGCAGTTTTAGCTATATCTTCGTCCCAGACTTTCAATTGATGATATCCTGCCACAAGTCAATTTTAGAGAAATAACGAGCTCCAACGAATTGATCAAATAAGTCATCAATTTTTGACAAAGGATATTTATTCGTTATAGTAAGTTTATTTAATTCTCGATAATCTGTACACATTCTCATCATACTGTCTTTATTTTTGACAAATAAAATGGGAGCACCCCAAGAAGATGTACTCGGTTTGATAAAACCCTTGTCAAGAAATTCTTTCAGTTGGGTCATTAATTTCTTCAATTCAGACGGTGCCAAAAAGTATTCTTGTTAATAGTATCAACTACTAAGGCATAGTCAAGGGGCACAAATTTCACGTATAAACACCTAGCAAATAAAAGCGATACAAAAGAATAATTTGCACTGGAATCAAATAGCACCTTTGCATATATTGAGTTTATAAGAAACGTACCTGTTACAACATCAGAAATTTTCTCTTCCTCCCTCCTCGACATCTGAAAAGACAGCCCTCTCGCCCTATCAAATTCAGCCGTTTTAATGTTAACTCCTCCAGGACTATTTAGAGTATTTCCACCAAGAATCAATCTCAGATTCTTTAGCTGAGGGAAATCCGGCTTGATATGATCAAGAGGTTACCATGATAACAACGTTGGGCATCCGACAAAATGTATGGATAAATGTCCCGGTTCCCCACATCTGTAGCATTATATTTGATCAAAATTACAGTCATCTGGGTGAACACGGTGACATCTTTGACATGGTCGTTCACCGAATCGCTAAACCAAATGATTATCTGTTTTCACAAACTTTCGTCTTCTAAACTCGGCTGACAACCCCTCCGATTTTCTCAGCCACGTCTACTGCCAATGGGAATGTAGTGGGGTTCATTGCAATCACAAATTCTCGGATCAAAGGCTTTAATCCCCAAATATACCTCTCAACTTTACGAGACTCAGATGAAATATAATGTTCAGCAAAACGGGAGTGTTCAATGATCTTTTATGTATACTCCCTTACATTCTGATTTCTCTGCTCTAACTTTAAAAATTCCTCTTATAGTTGCCTTACTGCCGCTTTAGAGACGAATTGTTCATTGAATCGATCCATAAATTCTATCCAAGACATAGATTGTAAAATATTGGGTTTTACCAAAGATTCAATGTCCCACCAATATAAAGCATTAGACTTAAGCATAGATACGACAAATCTGACCCTATCTTCATAAGAACACATACTTGTATTAAATACGGATTCGATTTCTTTTAACCAGCACATCGCCTTTGCAGGATTTCTTTCTCCGAAAAAGTTAGGGGTTTACATGTCAAAATCATCTTGATATCACCCTCTCTTGCATTGGAAGATTGAACTTGCGAGTTAATCTCTACTCACTCTCTTTCCAACTCTGGCAGGTACTCCTAGAATGAAGTCAAAGTATTTCTAATTTGCTCATTTCTTCAGCTAACATATCTCAAGTAATATACTGAGGATGTTGAATTGGTTCTTCATTATAGTTTTCCTAAAGAGATTCACCTTGATTTGGATGAACTTCAGGATGACTACTTCTTCTTCTTCTTCTTCTTCTTCCACATCCCCTTCCTCTGCCCCATGCCTCGACCCCTTCCTCTACCTCGTCCCACTGGTAAATTTTCAGGAACGTTTTCGAATGAACTTTCTTTTTCGTCTGGGCTTATGAGAGCGATCCTTTTAGACCTTCTAGATTGACTTGCCATTTGTCAAATTACAAAATTTAATATTCACATAATCACATTCCCCAAATATTATAAGATATCCAAGCACAAATATGTACCTCTAAAACTTTAAGTCTATGCATTATGTTGAATACCTAAATCTCTTAAACTCAGGCTCTGATAACAAACTTGTAACACCTAGAATCACATTTGCATATAACCACATATTTCATATATTATGAAATACAATTTACACATTTGGTCCCTATATACACACAAAATATATTAAAAAAAGTAGCCACCAAAATTTTCTTTTCCACATAATCTCAGTACAAGACTTGTATGCATAACAAGTATTCAAGTATAGATAACATCACATCTTCAAAAATTCATATATGCAAGTAATCATAAATTTCTTCATAATTTCTCTTGTCCCTTATCTTTCAATTGTGTCTGACCTGTAATGCACATTTTAAAACACCAAAATGAGGGTTAGACCATGAAGCCTAGTGAGAAATCCTTTTGATTGCTATTACAGGGTGAAAATCACTACTGGGTGAAAATCACCAAAACACTTTTATAAAACCCATATTTGTATAAATAACAAATAAACAATGTTTTATCAAAACAAATCTCTTTTGTCACATCAATAAGATTAGACAACACCCATTTATCGTGTCAAACAACCAAATAAACCATTTATCGTATAACATATAAACTTGTCGCATCATATAGATAAAACCATAATTTTCTCACATCACATGCGTGAGACAACCCCATCTCCTCGCATCACACAAGTGCAAGAATCATCTCATCGCATCCAATACAGGCGATAAACACATTTTGTCACATCAATAGGATGCGACAACTCAACTTGTTACATCACAATGATGCGATAAAAAATACCTTATCACATCAATAGGATGCGATAACCCAAAGTCATCGTATTATAAGCATGCGATAAACCCCATTCATCGCATAAAAAAGAAGCGATAGTAGTTCTTCATTTTAGTCAAAAATCCGAGTTTTCACATTCAGTTGATTATGTCATCTTTTTCTCAAAATACGCTTCTCCTGATTATATCACCTTTATCCCAATACACCTCTCATGATTACGCCAGCCTTATTCCAAGATATGTCTTTCCTGATTATGTCACTCTTATCTCAGGATACGTCTATCATGATTATGTCACTCTTATCTCAGGATACATCACCCTTATTCCAACCATTTTGATATTAACATATCAAAAATACAAAATTATGCTAACAATTGCATAATAACAATTTCAAAACTCCCCACATAAAGAAACATAGAGTTAGGTTTTTTAATGCGTAAAAAGTACATTATCGACAACCGTAATCGACCCCTCAATCGTAATTTTAGTTTTCCTATTAGTGGTGGGGGGAAGGGAGACTAAAATCAATACCATTGGATCAAATTTTTAAATGCCATTAATGCATCCAACGCATGGCCACCGCTTGAAACCAAATTAATTTTTTT